GCATGCCAGCAGCTCTGTGGACTGCTATGAGTGTTAAATAAGAATCCATTTAAGAACCTCCTCCCATTCTTAGTCTACAACAGGTATGGCGCTGACAGTTTTTAGAAGACAACCAAGGAAAACAAAGGGGGACAAAAAGCTTCAAGCAGAAGAATTAAAAAACAATCAGTCATATCTCTCTATCATAAAACAACAACAGACCTTCCTCCTTTGCAGAAAAGAATGGAAAAGTACAGGTGTGTACTGCTACATCCTGTGGAATAGAATGCTCCCTCCCGCACCGTGACATGTTTTCTGTCTTTAATTGTAGGTATTTGTAAATTTGCCTTATTATCTCTGCCCCTGACCTCATTAGCTTATAAGCATTTTGCCCAACATAATCATTGGCCCTTAAAAGTTCTGCAGTACATAGTTATTGAATTCCTGGCAGTCAAATACAGTAGATGAATGCCTAATAATTTGCTAAATGGCAATGGTAAAATAAGTTGTAAAGGAAGCAGCATATTTATGGCTATACATTGCTTCAACTTGCTGAAAAGTTGTTTTCATCTCTCAGAATTGAACTTTGGGGTTAGCCCAGGGCCTGGCAGGTGTTTGGCTGTATGAATCTGAAGCTCGGAGAAGAAGTCTGGACTCAGCAGCGTGGAGGTGAAAGTGCAAACCCACAGAATATCACCGACGAAGAACTACAGAGGGTGAAATCAGTCTGATACCTCGGGGCCCAGAGCTTAAGGGCTGGGGGGCATTGGAGGCCAGGACAGAGTCCAAGCAGGAAAAGCCAGAGAGGCAGAAGGAGGACCAAGGAAGGATGGAATCAAAAAAGCCAAGGGGCTGGGAAGTCTTAAGGACAAAGGGGTGGCCCGTGGCCTCAAATGCAGCTGAATAATCTGGTCAAGAGAAAATTGAGAGCTGTCTGCTGGAGTGAGCAACATGAAGTCACTAGTGACCCTGAGAGCAGTTGGTGACCTTGCAAAAGCCACTTCAGTTGAGGGGTGGGGTGGGGATACAGTGCAAGACACTGTGGTGGGAAAGGGATCGAATGGGATTGAATGGGAGGCAAGGACGTGAAAACAATCACAGGAGGCAACCAACTTGGGTGAAAGAACAAAGGCTTTTGGTTTTGACCTTGCACCCAGGCTCAGCTTCACCAATCCAGCTTCCCTACTGCCACTAGTTACATTTTCTAACAATCAAAATCAATCATACTTCCTGTTGTGATTAACATCGGCTGGCTCGCCACTTGCTGAACAACGAAGAGTGAAGTCCAGCGCCAATCTCTTTAGTATAATTTATTTCTCAGACCTGATTTCTTTATCACCTGTAAAGGAGAGTTGCACAGATCCTTCACCTCTTATCCAAAATCCTTGGGGCCACATGTCTTTCAGACTTCACAGCTTGTTGGATTCTAGAAAGGTGACATGGTGTACATGGTGTACATGCCGTATGTTACATCATACCACCAGCAGAGCCCAGGCCAAACGCACCAAGTGGGACAACTAAAGACTACAAAAATAGAGAGGTCAGGTCAAGTTTTTCACCAAAGGAGTTATCAATATACTTTTGTTTTGCAGAGCTTTTCAGATTCTCAGAATTGTGGTAAGGGCTCGTAGACCACCCTCAGAGGGTTGTTTAAATGCTCAAATGAGATATATGTGTGTGTGTGTGTGTGTGTGTCTGTGTGTGTGTGTGTGTGTGTGTGTGTGTGTGTAAAAATGAAGCCAAAAGGATAACCACAAAGGGTGCAAAGGCCCTGCTCTTCCTGACTGGGAATGAAAGGAATTTTTCTTTTATGACACTGTGCATGTGAGCAGTTTAGAAAGGACACTCTGATAGCCTTTTGGAAGCCATTTCTACACAGCTGGAAAGAATTACCTCGCTGGAAGAAGGCATCGGAGTGTGGCTGGAGACACTTGAAAGAAGGGCCCTTACCTTCTTCCTCATCTTGATTGCTCCCTCTCTTTAGGGGATGGGGCTGGGCTGAGCTTGGGGATGCTGGAACTCAGTGATGGGAACCCTCCCAGTGGAAATCACTTCTTTCTTGTCACCCTTCCTTCTAAGTGGTGATCACCATGAGGCCCTGTTCTTGTTCACAGCTGGGTCTCCAATGCCTGGCACAGCTCCTGGTGCTTCCCATTTTGCTGAATTGAACTGAATTGCTCTCTTACATTCCTCGTTGTGACAGAAGGCATAGTTGGCATTGTCTTAACTTCCATTGTTTTCACTTTTAGGCAAAAACCCCTATATCCTTACCCAACTTCCCTTCCTCCCCCACCACCTCAAAGGCAATGGTAAATCTTCCATCTTCACACATCTGTGCCTTTGGTCCTCTCATTCCTGTTTCCTCTGAGATCTTGCTTTCCTCTTTCTCGTGTATTTTTTAATCTTTCCATCTCTCACAATTCCTTCTCTGAAAGCTATAAACAGGCACGAAATCTTTCCATCTTAAAAAATAATACTTTTTTCCCATTTTATTTATTATTTATTTGTTTGTTTGTTTATATCTAAGTTGATTTACAATGTTAGTTTCAGGTGTACAGCAAAGCAATCCAGTTACACATATACATATATATATTTTTCAGATTCTTTTCCATTATATGTTATTACAAGAAACTGAATATAGTTCCCTGTGCTATACAGTAGGTCCTTGTTTATCTATTTTATATGTAAAATAATGTATATCTGTTAATCCCAAACTCCTAATTAATTTCTCCCTCCCACTTCTCCTTTGGTAACCATAGTTTGTTTTCTATATCCATGAGTCTATTTCTGGTTTGTATATAAAATCTGCATTTTTTTAAGATTCCACATGTAAGTGAAATCATGTGATATTTGTCTTTGTCTGACTTACTTCACTTAATATGATAACCTCTAGATCCATCCATGTTGCTGCAAATGACATTATTCCGTTCTTTTTATGGCTGAGTAATATTCCATTGTGTTTATAGACCATTTCTTCTTTATCCAGTCATCTGTTGATGGGCAATTAGGCTGCTTCCATGTCTTGGCTATTGTAAATAGTGCTCCTATGAGCATTGGTGAGCACGTGTCTTTTTGAATTATAGTTTTCTCTGGATATATACCAAGGAGTGGGATTTCTGGATCATATAGTAAGTCTATTTTTAGTTTTTTAAGGAACCTCCATACCGTTTTCCATAGTGGCTGCACCAATTTACATTCCCACCAATTTACCATGTCTATGGACCATCTTCTTACCTCGTCTTCTGTTCATGGTTGAACTCTTATAAAGAGTATAAAGCAGCTGCCTTCACTTTTGCATCTCTTCAGCCTCTTTCAGTCAGTTCCTCCCGAAACCCCAGTCTGACTGAGGCTTCTCTGGCTGAGGTCACCAGTGACCTCCCAATGACTACAATCAACAGATTGATTTTAGTCCTCTTCGTACTTGCACCCGACCTGTTATCTGACACCACTGACTGCTCCTCCTCAACACCCTCTCCTACCCCATTTGCCAGACACTCCTGGTCTCCTTTTATCTCCCTGATAACTTCTCCTCTTCCTCCTTTGTGAACCCTACTCCCTCTCTCTAACCCTTTGTACATGTGGCTGTTGTCCAGGGTTTATCCTTAGTCTTCTCTTCTTATGCTCTACCCTCTCTGCAGAGAGGCTCAGCCAAGACTTATCTCCTGATGACTCCCATTTTATGCCACTCTGAAGTTTCAGGTGGAGATACCCAGCTAAGCTACCAGACATCTCCACCTAGATGTCCCAGATATTTCAAACTCATCAAGTCCAGAACTGAATTCATTGTTTTCCCCAGTCTCCCCAAAACCCATTCTTCTTCCTTTTTCCCTATATCAGTCAATGACCTAGGAGTCATTCTACTTTTTCCTCTCTTGTGTACTCCACATCATTCAGCAAGTAAATCTGGAAACTGCATCCTCCTCTTCATTCCTGAACTAGTGCCTTACTCAGATCCATGGCTCTTATGCCTTTATTAGTACATGAGCATCGTAAGAGGTCTCCCTGCCTCCAGGCTTGCACCACTTCAGTTCAGTATCTGTGTGCAGCTAGAGCCGTATGAAATGCAAATGTTCTTAAAGCCCTTCAATGGGCAGGAAGACTAATCTATAGTAGCAGAAAGCAGATAAGTGATTGTCTGGGGTCAGGGGAGCAGTTGGTGGGATTGAATATAAAGAAGCACAAGGGAACTTTTTGGAGATGAAGAAACGTTATGTATCTTGATTGTGGTATCTGGTATATGGGCATATACCCAATGGGGATATATATCTATTTGTCAAAATGCATCAACCTGCGCATTTAAAATAAAAGTGTTTTATTGTACATAAAATATACTTCAATATACTTAGTTAAAGAAAAATATCATTCTACATCACTCTGTTGCCTAGAGAACAAAGCTCAAATTTCTTATCTTGGATTAAGTGATGGCATGATTTCTTTCCTTGATTTTTCTCTTCCTTCATCCCCCAAACACCCATCTCATTAAATACACTACAGATCTGAGTGGGCCTAGACGTCCTGCCCTGCCCTGTCTAGTGGTTGAACATCCATCATGTTTATCAAGATTGAGCTTGCGCCATCACTATAGCATTCTCCCCCCCACCCCCGACCCACACGTGATCATTCTCCCTTTGTTCCACTGACTCGTAATAAATGTCTATCACAAAGTTTTCGATTGCACTCTGTGTTTATGGCTTCCCTCTCCTTTACTCGGTTGTGAGTGACAGCTGGACCCTGTCTTCTCCAGTTTTGTTAACTCCTGCGCTTATCGCTGAGCCGCTCAATCTTTGTTGAAGAAACCTGGGCTTTAATATTGCAATCCAGCCCAAAGGACAGCGGGACAGACCGGGCCCTCCACCACCACCACCAGTGCTCCTCCAGTCCTGCAGGGGGCGCTCCATCTGTCTCCCGGCTCTGGACTTCTCTGAGCCAGCTCCTAGAGCCAGACGCTCGGGGCTCCGCCTCCTCCTTGGCAACATCTCTCCTTCCCATTGGGCGAGAACGGTCAGCGCCGTCCAATGGAACGAGGCGTTGGTGCGAGGAGGCGCCACCATCTTTGAGCGGCTAGGCTCTTACCTCCGTTGGCGGCCGCAGGAGGTAGGGAGGTAGGTGGGGTGCGCCGCGTCGTGCCGCCTCCGGTCCCCGGCCGTGCCTCCCTCTCCCGTCCCTCCGCGGGCCCACGATGCCGCAGTACCAGACCTGGGAGGAGTTCAGTCGCGCGGCCGAGAAACTCTACCTCGCTGACCCTATGAAGGTAAATCGCTGGCGAGACCGGTGCCTCTGCCCCAGCCCGGGGTCAGGATATCTTCTCTGCAGTCCGCTCGGCCTCCAGAGCTTCTGTAGCATCTTAGGAGGTGCTGGGAGTGAGCAGAGACTGACCCTGTCAAGTCCGATAGTTCCTCCTGTCTCTTATTAACGGCCAGATGAAGCCCTGAAACAAAATCAGGGTCATTTCAGGGCCTTTAGGAAGCTCTCCCCCGCCCCCAATTCCTGAACTTCCCTTATGACTCTCGTTGGTTTACGTGTCTCTAAGGGCAGGGCTCCTCCCCCTGCATCTGCAGCCTCTTGTCCTGAATTGTCTTGGTGACCTTTTCCCGTACTACCTCATGTAAGATAAAACGGTGACGTTTTTCTGCCACCGCAAACGTTCTTGAAAGACCCCAATTTGGAGGCATCTGCACCCTTTAGAATAGTGGTTCGTAATCTTTTGGAGGTCAGCGGCCTTTTGAGAGCATGAGAATGCTTGCACCCTTTCCTCAGAAAAATGCACTTATACGTAAACATTTGTAAACACTTTTAGGGGGCTCGTGGATCCCTGTAGTTTATTTGTGGCCCCTACAAAAATTAAAGTAAGTGGATGCCAGAAGTTAGCTTATTATTAAAAAGCAAAGAAGTCCAAGTGATCAGAATTTAGCATTCAGGTCTTGATTTTTCTTCCTCTCGAGCTTTCGTTTTATTGTCATCTAAATATTGTTTGGAGCAGCTCCTTGTTAATTAAAAATCCCACTAGTCTTTTAGACCTAGGTAAGTAGTAAGAAGCCATAAAACATTCTTAGTTCCATTTTTTTGCAATAAAGTGGTGTAATAATAATAAATAATGAAATGAGTTAGATATTTTTGAAATTGAGCACTTTGTTTATGACACAAATTCTGACTCCAGCATTTGGTTCATTTCCTTTGTTCATATAGCCATTTGTTTCTTCCTTTAAGAAATGCACTATGAGGACAATATAGAGTTTTTGTCCAGAAGTACCCACAGTATAAACTAAAAGTATTTGAGAAGACAGTAAAGAATATACAAATACACACCAAAAGAAATCATATTTTAAGAATTTGGTCATAGTGGTAGGGAAAATAAAAATAAAATGGTAATTACAGAGTATTGCTGTGAACAAAGCAGGTCTAGAATTGGTGGAGAGGGAGACCATTTCAGCTCTTTACCCAGTCAGAAAATTCCAGTGACCTAAAACCTTGTGCCTCTTGATAGCTTTCCATTGGTTTTTAACTGATTTTTTGATAGGAAGATGAGGAGATAAGTGAGGAGAAGGAGCTTGGTTGAGTTTTATCCAGTACCTTCTATATAACAGGCATTCTGTATATATTTATTTGTATAATTTATGTGAACAATTAAGATAGTCCCTTGAGGTAGATGAATAAACAATCTTAGGTCTATTAAACAATTTGTCTAGTCTCTAAGAGATTAAGCTAAAATTTGAGCCCGTGTTTCTAAACCCCATATCCATGCTGTTTCTGTCAGTCTCTTCTGCTGGGACTAAAGAAAAAAAAATTTTTGTCAGAACTCTTTGGACTCTGTTATACAGAATTCTCTGTCTTCTTTCCCTGTTGATTTTATCCATCACCTTTTACCATTCTCTCTTGCATCTGCTCTAATTAAAGATGATACTATTGCTGGACCACTTAATAACCTCTTAGTCTTTCTGCCTGTTTTTAAATCCCATCTTCACTCTTATACCACAGCTTCTGAATTCTCTTAGTTTCCTGCTTTAAAACTAGTTCTTCATTGATTGCTGGTGAAAGTCTAGACTCCTGGTCCCCAGTCTTACCCTCTCTCCAGACTTGCTGGCTTTTTCTCCCACCACTTGCATCATCCTCAGCTCTAGTCTCAGGAAGCTACAGAATGCATCATATCTTCATTCAGACTGCTGCTTCAGCCTTTTTCCCACCTTCTTCCCTAAAAGAAAAAAAAAGCATTTCTGAAGCCATCCCCATAAAGCCTTTTTACATTTTCCCTTCTCCTAATCTAAATTATTTGTTTTATTTTTTAGCATTTTACCTGTATATGTCTTTATAGGACTTAATTCATGTTGTGTTATATTTTGATTATTTTGGTTGGTTGAATTCAAATTTCCTAAGAAAGCAAGAACCTTGATTTCTTTTTCTTTCTTAGTGGTATCTGACATGGTAACTTAGGTGGCCCCAAACTTACAAAAATGGACCCTCTTATAGTATCACAGACCTTTTAACTTTCATTTCTCCTAGTGAAGCCAGTGAGTATTCTAAGTGAGAGTTAAAACTGTACATAGTTGTCATGTTTAGTACATTTTTAAGTTTCAGTTTCTTTTTGTTTCTGGAGGGCTGAACTTTTTAAAATAGTGTAACAGAATTTAATAGCTCAATAAATAGAATCAGTTAGGTAGTCTAAAGATAAATCTAGGTACTGAGTTCCCTTTCAACCCTCACCAAGACAAATCTCAGGGTAGTATGACCTTTTTTTTTTTCTTTCTTTGTTTCTTTCTTTTTCAGTCCCTGGAGAGCAGAGGGCATAATGGGAAAAGCTGTAGGAAAAGCTCTAGTCACCCTTTTTATTTAGTTTCCAGAATTGTCTTGTGGCTTCTGTGCTACATTGTACCCATTTTAAAATTATATTCCTGTTTTGGCTTGTAGATATTTAGCACTTTTTAAAACTGCTAGCCAAAACTAAACAAGTTATTAATTTTGGTTAGTAAGAAGCTTGACTGCTGCAATACACTATTTTGAATCCATCATTTAAAGAAATTAAAATAATGTTCATGAAAGTTGTAAACTATTGTGAGATGTCTTCTTTTATTGGAATATGCTAATATCTAAGTCATTTCCTTGGCTTCCTTACTATAAAATAGTGAACAACAGCAAGCACCGTGTAGCATGGTACTCAGTGTAGGAGTTATTCTAGATCTGAAAAGTTGTTGATGGAGACTTCTTTTCAGGGCAGAATTCTGCTTTTGTGTAGTAATGCATCATGTTGTGCCATCAAGATAAAGATGTGATTTTGCTGAATAATTTAGTCCAAGTTCACCCCTTGAGAGCCGTGGGAAAGTGGAAAGTATGAGCTGCAGCTGCGGCGCTCTCTCCTAGAGAATGGGTTTGAATTTAACCAGCCACTTCTATTTTTTTCCCCTTTCTTTCCCTATCATTCCTCTGTGGCTAGGTGTATTGGTATTGTAGGGGAGAAAACTTTCTCATTTACTCTCATAGATTTAATAACTGGGGCTCTGCAAATTAAACTGACAGAAGACAGGTTAACAAGCGAAAAAAATTACATATATAGCATGGAAGTTCACAAAGAAACGTGACTTAAGGAATTTGGGCCTATATACCATCTTAACAAAGGTTGGTAAGTTGTGGGAAGGAGGCTGGACTACGGAAAAGGGGTTTGGAGCTTTTGGGAGGGGGTAAGTTGTGAGAAGATGACTAGGAAATGTATGGGAAATTAGAGGTGTTTTGTCAGGTTTGTTGGGGAACACACTTTGTTTTCTTCCCAGGGAGAGGGAACACCTTTACAATCGAAAATTTATGTCACCTTTACAAAGGTTAATCTATATCCTGCTTTTAGCCAGAAAGGACAGAGAGCTAATTATCTTCAGCTCAGAATAATCCTATGCCAAAGTGGCATACTTTGAGGTGGCACAACCTTCGGTATATGTTCTTACTGTTAAGAAATGCTAAACCATCTTAAGAGTCTCACAGACATTCCCTGAATGTGGATGTGTCCTGAGAATTTTAAATACCCTTCTTTAAAGTGGCTGAAAATAACCTATCTGACCTTTTTTTAAGTCTTAAAAAGAACAATAAATTGTAGCAATAGGAATGGACAAAATGCTGTTTTCCCTCATTTCAATAATGATAAGTTTACAGTAAAGATGCCTTTAGATGTGTTAGCTATTAATTCTAAAAGGATCCACCCACCTGAAGACTAAATTATTTGTGAGAAATGTCTTCTGACTTCACTGTTTCTAAATATGTATTTTTATTTCAGGCACGTGTGGTTCTCAAATATAGGCATTCTGATGGGAGTTTGTGTATTAAAGTAACAGATGATTTAGTTGTAAGTATACATTTTTATTTGTTGCATACTTTCAGATTTGAGTTAATCATTTGTTTTAAATTATTTAAATAGAATGTTTGCAGATCACCCATTAGGATGCTTGTTTTGCATTTCATTCCCAAATCAAGACCCTTGTTCTAGAAGCTACTTTTACAGTCTTTTGGGAAAATCTTTCAACTTGCTAATGCTGTATGTCAAGTGTAGTTTAATAATTGCTCTCTTCAGACTCTAAGCAAGAATAGAGACCACAAGTGGATCTAAGAGGGTAAAGGTTTCCTTATGGTGCGTGAGAAGTAAACGATGGCATTTGCACACAAGTTACAGGCTCTGTGATTATATTTCTCTCCTTCCCTGTCTACTCACTCTCATCACTTTCTCTCACCTCTTTCGTTCCTTACCCCTTGCCGTCTGATTTCTACACGAAGTGTTCCGCCCAAAGTGCTCTTGTAAGAGCAGCAGTCCTTTCCTTTTCAAGCCCAGTAGTCTCATCAGTTCATATCTTACTTGACCTCCTGGCTGCTTTTGATACAGAAAACCACTTCTTGTGGAAATTATTATTTTGGCATCTGTGGCTCCACTTTATCTTATTTTTTCTCTGTTTCCATTTCATTCTTCTTTGCTAATTATTTCACTGATGTGCCACTGTAAATACTGTTTTTTTCAGGATTCTGTCCTACTCTTTTCATACCATTCTGGACCAATCCATTAAGTCCAGTACTACCAGTATCTGTGTCTGTTTCCAATTTTGTATGTTTAGCTCATATTTTTCTTCTGGCTTCCTGACTAGCTCTAAGTTGAGTATCCTTCCCTCGCTGCTTAAAATTAACCTGTCTGGAATGGAACTCATCACCTCTTATCAGGCTGGCTTCTCACTTTAGTTGCACTGTCATGTACCTGCTCAGAAAACTGGGAATCATTTCTGGTCCTTTCCTTTCCCTCATTCTCATGTCTACTATTTCTTCATTTGAAAAACTTGTATTTTGATCCTCTGATAAGTTCCATACACTTTGCTGGGCATATGTAAATTATTGATTCAAGCTCTCATCTCACAATCTCATTTCCTGTCATGAACTTTCCATCTTCACTGTTAATCTGTTAACTTTAAGGGCTCATCCTCACTTGCCTGGACTAGTAGAATAGTCTCAAACTGTGTCCCTGCTTCCAGTTCATCCTTCAGTCATCCTGTACTGCTGCCCTGCCAGAGTGATTTCTAAAAATGCAAATCTGATTGTTACTATCCTGCTTAGAAATCTTTAGTGGCTTCTCATCACTTATAATGTAAACTCCACCCTCGCACCCCCTCTAATCTCTGTCTTTTCTGTATTGCTTAAGAGCTCCTTTAAGGTGCCATGCTGTCTCAGGCCTCTGAGCTTTAGAACATTCTGTTTTCATCTTGACAATGTTGAGTCCCACTCCTGCCCCAATGTAGCAAGACTGCTGCTTATTCAAAACTTAGCTCGAAAGGATTGCTTTATCTCTTGCTTTTGTACCTGGTTTTTATTGTGCTGTGTCATAATTGCTTTATCACATTTGACTTTTAATAGATTGTGAGCTTCGAACAGTAAAGATACATCAGTAATATTCTCACCTGTATTTGCAGTGACTAGCATGGTGTCTTGACCCGGAGGATATTTTTTTATAGATTAATCTTTTAAACATTTTTTATAGATTAATCCTTTAAAAAAATTCACAGTGACTTTAAAAATAACTTGTTGTTTTTAGTCTTATATTTTACTGTATTTGTGTTCAAGTTTCCAATGTAAGGTTGTGTGAAGTCAGATCTTTTAATGATTACAATGTCTTCCAAGAACCGACTGAGTTTGGTGAAGTAACTGAAAGTGGGAAAAAAGATTAAATTGAGCTGTAGTGTGCTAAACGTAGATTCAAGAGATTTGAATCCTAGCTTAGCTACCAGCATTTCAGCCTTGGAAAGAGTTCAGGCCAAAAATTTGGCCTTCTGGGCTTCAGTTTTCTCATCTGTAAAGTGCCATAGTGATAGTCTGCTTACCTAATTGGGTTGTCGTAGAAAGTAAACAAAGTATGAAGTCCCTAGCACTGGTGCCTGCCACTTAGTAGATTCAGTAAATGTGTATTTCAATCTTAAGGATTCACACTGAGAACATTTTTAATTATGATTGTAACGGAGTATATAAATATATTTGTTGAAGAGAAACTGGTATGCCTTGTTTTAAAAACAGGGAGAAATGCCGAATTGAGTTCAGTACAAAAGGCTTTATCTCCAGAGGATGACTTTTTGCCTCTAGTAATGATTAAACATAAACGTAGTTAAGGATCCGTGGTAAGCAGTGTTGGAAAGAACTTTATTTAACACTGATGATTCCTATGACAAGATCTAAATATGAGAAATACTTTTTATTCCTTTTCTTAAAACTGCTGAGAATTAGTCCATGTCTGGAAGCGACCAAATAAACAATCAAACCCAGCCCCCTAAATAGTAAATATATGAATCAACTCCAGTGTAAAAATCTATTTTCTCATGATTCTTAAAAAAGAGTTTGTATGCTTCCCTCAGTAACTCATTTTAATAGCTAATAATTCCTTCAGAAGACTCATCTTAGACTTTATTTTTTTCATCATGGGGCTTTTACTTTTTTTTAATCCCATTGATGTTATTATTTTTTTTTAATCCCATGACTGATGTATATATAATATTGTCTTCAGTGGACCTAAAATCTTCCTCTGTCAAACTGTTGTGAGAAGTATATGTTCTCCTACAGTACATATACTAAAATTGAAATGGTGGAGATTATTATGGCTGCTTTACAAGATTGTTACACAAATTTGTGCAATGTATGGATAAAGTTTTTTTTTTTTAAGTAAGTGATTTAAAGGCTGAATGAATTCAGAGCAGTTGGGCATGATGAGATTGAACTCCAGATTACTTAAGTTGATAAATATTACTGCAGGATCATTAAGTTCCCATTGTTTAAAACTCATGAGAAGCTTTAAGATAGGCTAAAGAAAAATGAACCTGTGTTACAAAATGAGAAAAAGACTGCCAGCTTAAATTTGATAATTTTGAAGATTTTAGAACAAATGGTTTCATGGCCAGTGATAAGCAGATTTTAGGTATCTATTAATGAAGAACTGAATTTATAGTAAGGAAGAATTTGGTTTGGTTTAAAAATTATAAATACCTTCAGAAAATCAAGGTTGAACCAATTTGTCAGGTTTGATTTAGGTAGTGACCAGCTATAAGCAAGGGATTCTAGATTTTAAAAAATTATCATTAATCCTTCACAAATAGAGAAAGGATTGTAAGATTTCTATGCTTTTTCCACTATAACTCAATCATTTATGACCAGGTCCCAGGGAGAAAATACCTAATTCTAATCTTGAATGTCTTCTCATCATACCGTAGCAGGATTTAAACATTACTCAACTGGCCATTTTTGAGAAGTTTCTGATAGAGTTCATTTCATTTTTTATCCACAGCAGTGCCATTTAAAATACTATAAAAATGCTAAACCTAAGGAATGTAATTGCTGGGGACTTGGAAACTTGAATGTAAACTCCTTTATATGACTTCCGGAGGAAACAGAGCAAAACAATGGTTGGGAAAGATTCTCAAATTTTTACTGTCATATATTTGCTACATTGTTGATAATCTAGTTTTACATAGTTATTGTGTACCTCTAAATTTTCTGACAGTGTTTGGTGTATAGAACAGACCAAGCTCAAGATGTAAAGAAGATCGAAAAATTCCACAGTCAACTAATGCGACTTATGGTGGCCAAGGAATCCCGCAGTGTTGCCATGGAAACGGACTGAATGGTTTGAAGTGAAGACTGTTTGTCATGTTCTTAGGAAGTAAATATCTTTTGAATTTGAGAAAGTATTGGGACAGAAAATACTTTATGTAACTAAGTGGGCTGTTCAGAAGCCAAGAGATCTTTTTTTTGTACTTTTTTTTTAATGTTTACTTTAGAGAGCTAGGAATGTAAATGCTTTCTGTTAGAAAGCCTTTATTTATTTTTGAAAATTGAACAAGAAATGCATCTATCTTGGAAATTTTTTGCAGATTATTTGATGTTGGGCAAAATAAGTAATTATCCTCTGGTAAGTTTGGATCAGCAGTTTGAAAATGAGATATCAAGAAAAGCTAATTCTTCCTTAAATTTAGTTAATGTGTCTTTAAAAGAAAATTAAATGTAACCATTTTGCTGGATTGATATATTTCTTTTGGAGCATAGATTTTGTGCTGTTGATGACCAGCAAATATAAAATATGATAACTGGAATTAACTGCACAGCAGTATACCTGGTGATACATACGAGTGTAGTTTCAACTATATCTAAAAGTAAGTATGAAAACAAGTATGCTTTACCTTAAACTTTACAAATTTAAACTATATTTTTAAATACAAGAGATTCATAGTATCAACTTGTTGAGCAAAGACTTACTTTGAATCTAGTTTTCAGTGCTCAGAAATATCTGCAGTTATTTTAAATGCATGAAGAGAATGATCACTAATGGACTGAAACCACCGTATTACAGAAATATTTGCCAATTATTTGCCACCTATATTTCCTCAAAAGGGCTACGGACTATCTGAACTGTTAAATCTTTGAATACCTCTGACACCCCTGCCCAGTTCTCTCTTTACTTAACCAAGGTGTTAAGCATGACTGTCACAACTGTTATGTTTTCCATTAAATCAGAAGTATATTACTTGATACTTATCTTATATTTGTAACCTGAATTTTACCACCTAAATGTTCACATTTGATTTCTATATTAGAATATTTTTTGTTAGGAATTCGTTGTGTTGACCAGTGTTTTAATGGGGAAAGTTCCATTAGCCATATAAATTTTGGTGTGTTTCAGAGAGGTCAGCAAATAAACTATCATATGAGTATATATTGTTTCTCTTGAAGTTTTTAACTTTTCAAAAATTACTCATTTCTTGACTGGAATATACTAGATTCATTTAGACTAAAGTGAGCCTAGTGATGCTATACATAAGTTTTATTTGTTTTGTTTCTTCATACTTGAGTTACACAACTTTCTCTGAACTGTATGTTGATGGCAAGGTTGCTTTCTTGATTAAGAAAAGTAGTGTAGGGTTTCAAATATCTAGGGGCTTTGGGGCTTTGGGTGCTTTTGTTTCATTATAGGATCACTGGAGGGTTTTTTGGCCTTTTTCTTATTTACATCTTCCTCTTTTTAACACTACTTTATGTAGATAACTTGGAAAGGGGGGAGCTTACATTTGAGTTGTTTGAGTCCTTGTAGCTTATAATGGTGTTTAAGAGCAGAGGTTCTAAGGCAGACTGCCTGGTTTGCAATATTAGCTCCACTACTTCCTAATTCTGTGGTCTTTGAGAGGGTACTTCTCTAAGCCTCCACTTTTCTGGAAATTGGGCTGACAATAGTACTTACAGGGTTTTGTGAGGATTAAATGGCATAATCCACTTTAAGCCCTTAGTGCAGTACCTGGAACATAGTAAAGCTCAATCAATGGTAGCTATTATTATTGCTATTAATTGTTATTATTTTTCAGAGGGACAGATACAAGTAGCCAACTCTTAAGATTTCTCATAATTTTAATAGAATGATTATACATAAGTAACATCTGCCTTTTCTGCCGAGCTATATCTATTATCAAATTGCCATTTTTGGCCGATGGGAAGCAAAGCAAGATTGCTCCCATGGAGAGTGTTCTTATGTGGGGGAAACTGAAATCCTTAAATCTAAAACATGTTTATTTGTATCTGCACAAAATAAAATTATAAAGAGAACTAATTGGTGGTGAAAGTATTGAATCTCTTAAAGACCATATAAATAATAAAACACCAAATCATAATGTATTCTGAAAATCGCAATGCTGTATACTCTGGTTTTTTCTTTTATCAGGAAATGTTTCTGGATACTATAATCACACTTTCACGGATTAATTTTTAGTGAACTGTTCTGTGATGTATTTGATCAAAGGCTGCTGACTCTAAGGTAATCCAAATGAAGTCTCCATATTAAGTAAGATTCTAGGTACAGTTAACAGTTCAAATATTTTCATTTTCTTCTCCTATAAAGACCACTCTCCTTGGAGCACAGAGTCAATTGAACAATTGTTGGCTACGTATGTTCACTGTTGTAAAGGTTTGGCTTCTCCTAGCCTGCCAACTTTTTATCCTAAAATATAAAATCTCTCGGTCACAGCTCTACGTAACTGATTAGAAGCAGTGTTGGCAGTGTTTTATAGTTGGTGTCTTCTGTTACCCTTAGAAAAATCTAACACTCACAACTATATGATGGTAATAGTTTTGAAGTACAGCTGACCCTCGAACAACATGGGTTTCAACTATACAGTCCCAATTATATGCTAGTTTTTATTCCCCAGTAAATACATAATACAGTACTATGTGATCCATGGTTGGTTGGAACACAGTCATGGAGGGCTGGCTGTAAAGTTAAATGTGGATTTTCTGCTGCACAGAGGGCCAGCATTCCTAACCCCGCATTGTACAAGGGCCAACTGTATTCTGAAACTAACTCAAAATGAGTGAAATGTGAAATTAATTGCCCAAGAACAGTAAGAGAGCCTGTCTTTCTGCCTACTAAAAATGAAACAAAACCAAATCTCTAAGTAATAATTATTGCACATCTATTGTTCCTCTTTTAGTAAAAAATACATTGTGCTAATGGCAATATAGTATTCAGTGTTCTTTCTCTTTAAGACAGAAAGTGTTTCTCTAGTACTGCAGTTAAGATTTATGATAGCATGACAAGAAAGTCAAAATATTTCATTCTTCTTTCTTATGTTAAAAGTACTTACTGGGCTGGTTCCAGATAAGGTGGAGTAAGCACACTCCGCCATGGCTCTTCTACTGACTATAGCTACGAATGCATGGAGCAGCTGTTTGAGGACTTGAAAAGAAAATAGCAGGTGGATTGGGCAAGAAGGCTAGAATCTGAAGTACCAGTGAACCAGTGATGAATGAGGTTATCATTTTTACCCCCTCTGGTATCTACCAGCCTGAATTCAACACATTGGCAACCTGGAAGTAAGTACTGTGGTACAGACCAAGAGTGTCAGAAGCCTTTAAGTTTGACCCAAGGAGTAGAAGGGAAACTTGTAATATTCAGAGAGAGTGTAGAAGTCCTTTTTTTTTTTCCTTCTCTTTTCTGTATTCTCTTATAGGCCACCCCCCAAGCAATCCCATGGTGGTGACAGTGTCGACTATTGGCAGTAGGAACCTGCAAGAGCCAAACTCAGAGAGGTAGCCCTTCCTTTCCATTACAACTGTATTTCCAAGAGAGTGGAACCAACCCCCATTTTTTTCTCCTTGTGCTCTGTCTGCTTTTCCTTGGATGCAGACAGTGGCAAAGTACACAGGGTAAGAGAATCAATAGAAGAAACCAGAAAGTACCATGGAAATCACAGGAAGGAACTCAAAGTTAAGTGTCCCCAGAAAGCTGTTCATGTATTTTGGAGTCCACCCCCAGTCTGTACGTGTGTATGTGTCTGATTCTTTTCAGTATATTAAAGACTTAGAAACTGAACTAATAGATAGACCACCACCCAAATCCCACACTTGCATTTGGGAGGTATTCACATGGGGTAGGTCTAAAAAGCACTCCATAAATTTTGAAAGCTGAACTGACTTCTCCTTCTGCCTTCTCCAGGCTGTGATTCCTGTCAGTTCATCTTGCAAAACCTTTGCCTGATGTTGAACACCTAGAACTAAAATGCTGTGTATCACTTATACCTCAGTTAAGGGAAACAAAAGCAAAAAGCCTTTGTCTGCAGCCTAACCGGGTTGACTGCCTGCTAAAACAAACAAAAACTCAATGTTCTGCATGGATTTAAACAAGTCCCAGAGTTAACAAATATGTCAAGGGTACAATCTAAAATTTCCTGGCGTACCAGGAAATGGAAGAATTCTCAGCTCAATAGATAAATAGACAGTCCATAGAGTCCCCAACCCTGAAACATCAGATGTTGAAATTAATCTAACAAAGACCTTAAAGCAGCTGTTACCAAAGTGCTCCAGCAGATAATCATGAACACTCTTGAAATTAATGGGAAAAAAAACCCCAAAATCTCAGCAAAGTAATAGAAGATATTAAAAAGAATGAAATGGAAATTTTAGAGTTGAAAAACATAACCAAAATTAAAAACTCACTGAATAGTCTTTAGCATAATGAAGGAAAGAATGAACTTGAAGATAAACTAAGAGAATTTATCTAATCTGAAAAACAAAAGGATTGGAAAATAAAGCAAGATCATGAGCAGAGCTTTACAGACTTGTAGGACAATAATAAAAAGTGTAACATTTGTGCTATTAAAAATTCCAGAAGGATAGGAGTGCTGTGGTGCTGAAGAAAAAAAAATTTGAAGAAATATTTGCTAGAAACTTCCCAAATTTGGTGAAAAACTTAAACCTAGATTCAAGAATGTCAAAGAAATCCACACCCACACAATCATGATGAAACTGAACAATGATCTTAAAAGCAGCCAGTGAAAAATATTACCTATAGGAAAACAATGATTTGAATGATGATTTCTCATCAGAAATCATGGAGGCCAAAAGGAAGTGGCACATTTCTGAAATGCTGAAAGGAAAGAACTGTAAACCGAGAATTCTATGTCAAGTGAAAATATCCTTCAGGCATGAAAGTGAGATAAAGTCATTCTGGGATGAAGGAAAAGGAGGAGAATCCACTGCCAGCAAACTTGGTCTAGAAAGAATCACTAAAGGAAGTTCTTCAGTTAGAAAGGAGATGACGCCATAAGGAAAATTAAAACATTCAGGAATGAAGGAAGAGAAATAGAAATGGTAATTATCTGGGTTCAAAGAATAAACCATTCTCTTGAGTTCTTGAAACATGTTTGATAATAGAATTATAACATTGATGGTGTTCTCATTATGTGTAGATGTAATAACAAGACATGAGTAACATAAAGGAGGAAGATAAAGAGACCTCTATGATAGTAAAGTTTCTGTCTCAAAGTGATAAAATATTTATTCTTAGTAGACTGAAAAGGTAAGTATATATATCCTCATTCCTCCAGCAACCAGTGAAAGAACTGCAAAGAAATATAGTAAAATAAATAGATGCTAAAAAAATTTTAAATAACTTTTTTTAGAAGGTAAGAAAGGGGAATGAGCAAAAAATGAGCAAAAAACAAACACAAACCAAATAATAAAATAGTAAGCCTAAATGCAAGCATATTAACACTTACGTTAAATGCAAATAATCTAAGCACACAGATTGTCAGTATCAAAACCAAAAGAAACAGAACCAGCTATATCCTCTCTACAAGAAACATTTCAAGTGATGTTTTGATACAAGTAGATAATAAAAGGATGGAAGAAATATGCCATGCAAACACTAATCACAAGAAAGCTATGACTATGTTAATGTTAGACAAAGACTTTGTAGCAAAGAATACTTCCAAGGATAAAAAGAGGTAGAAATATATTGATTAAAAGGGTCGATTCACCAAGACATAATAATCCTAAATATGATTACACATAAATAGCTTCAAAATGCATGAAGTAAAACCTGACAACTGAAAGAGAAAAATCTGCGATTAGATTTGAAGGCTACAATGCAGCTCTGACACTAAACATCCAGAGTTAGCACAGACCACTGGTTAAAAGCAAAGTCTTCTGTGAGACTCCCTCACTTCAGACACAAGGTGCAAGCTCTGGGGTTCACACTTCTGACCAACTGGCCACAAATTCAGGGGTTCCTGCTACCCTGTCAGTTTCCATAATTTGTTGGAATGACTCACAGTACTCAGAAAAGTGTTAACAGTTTTATTATAAAAGATAAGTCAAGACCAAATGAAGAGACATTAGATAAGGTCTAGGTGGGTACAAAATGCAAAGCCTCCATGTCATTAGGACTAATTGCTCTCTCAGCATATTCAGGTATGATTACTAATCAGATTAGGGAAGCTCACCCGAGCTTTGGCTGTCCATTATGTTATGTTATGTAGGAATGATTGGCTCATTGGCCGCATGCTAGAACTCAAATCTCTAGCTCCACTTCATCTCCCTAAAGGATGGGCCAGACATCCAGCTTAAAGCCCCAGCCCTCTAATCGTGGTTGGTCTTTCTGGTATGACCAGGCTCCATCCTGAGTTACCTCGTTAGTATAAACTCAGACATGGTCCCAGAGGCCCACCGTGAGTAACAAAGATTCTTCTATCACAGACGTTAATTCCCAAGAATCAGAGACAGAAACCAGATGAATTCTTTATTATAAAACAATTCTCCCAGTAGTAAAACTTGTAAATAGAAATGTAGAAGGATGTAGAATTGAACAACGCTGTCAACCAACTGGATCTAATTGATTCTTATAGATGAAACAGTATTTTTAGTGCATGTGGGACGTTTACTAATGTCATACTGAAAACTCTAGCCAGGGCAATAAAGCAAGAAAAAGAAAAAAAAAAGGCATCCAAATTGGAAAGGAAGAAGTAACTAACTATAGACAAATTGATTGCCTTCATGCATAATCCTGAGTAATCTATAAAATGGCTACTGAAACTATAAAGGGAGTTTATCAAGGTTGCAGGTTACAAGATCAACATACATAATTTTATTTCTGCATACTATGCACAACAGATACGGAAATTTAAGAGACATACGTTTTTAATATCACAAGATTTGCACTGGAAACTACAGATCATTGCTGAGAGAAATTAAGATTTCAGTGATGTATATTATTCAATGGGTCAGAAAAATTAGTATTGTTAAGATGTCATTTTTCCCTAAAGTGATCTACA